CATCTAATTAATCATGAAACTTGAATGAATTAAAAAAATATTTTTTTAAAAAATGCATTTCAATCTTCTTTTATTAAAATTAATAAAAACATATTTTAATTACTTACGGCGATTTCCGAAAATAAACTTACGAATTAAAATATCTTATATACTTTTAATTGGATGTTTTTGGTGTCTATATATTACTTATACTTCTATGGCACACAATGGGAAACAGTTGTTGTTTAATATTACAGTTCATCAGCATTTATTTAATAAACACAGCAAAAAGGAAATAATTAATGTATTATTATAGGTTTATACAGATATATTAGGAATACTGTAATATACAAGCTGCACACTATATATGAAATTGCATTTACTGTTAAATTACAAATTTGATCTCATAATCGGTTAAGTACTATGAGTACTGTTGCATAATAGTTTTTTACTTTTTGTGATTTTTTCGCCTAATATTTTTAAGCCGTGTCACATTTAATTCAATCTACGTTAATGTAAGTAAAATGATTACTTTTCGAACCGAATCATAAATCGAGAATCAACATTTTGTAACTATTTTGTTGTCTATTGGTAATCCATGTAATAATATTAATCAAACAGTAAGAATAATGGGAATTTTGTTATTGTTATGATTAATGAAATGGAATTCTAAACATTACACTCCAGTCGGCGTCGCTGTCTCTGACCCTGAAAAATAGACCAAACACTTTTTTAACGTCTAATAAAACAATTATTCAGCAGATAAATCTCTGGACTTCACAAACCTTAAGTACGATTCGTATAATAAAGAACACTATCGGAATGACGGCCAGGAGTCTATAAATAAATCAAAAACTTTCAAATACTTGACATCAGTTTTGAAACGATTTACACGTGTATACATATACTTAAAATTACGATTATTGTTAGACGTTTTGCACGACAACGTTGTTCGCCTATTGAAATAGCCGACGACTGGTGGTGAAATTGGTCATGTATGATGTATATTGCTAAAACAATAGGAGTTCAGTGTGTCATACATAAGCTGTCGGGAAATATATAAAACCGTTTTCATAGTGTTGGATATTTGGTGGGTATTTATCAGAATGCGTACGTCTGTAGCAAACGACCGTATCGTTGTGCCCACACAGACGCAACAAATCATCTTGTCAGATATGAACACAAAGAACGATATATATTTAAGGACATAAGCTGTACTTCCGTGTTGTGCAAAACAAACCATACCGTCTCCGATTCGGTTTCGCAATTACATTATTTGGAGTGTAATATTCTTCGTGGTACAGATAACAGAAGATAAATTCCATTTTGTTCTGCGGGCAATACTAATAGTGTTCATATGATGTTTCGCAGTTTAAAACCCCGGACTTTACAACATTTTTACTCCGCTGGTTCGTTACATGTAAAGTTTTTAACATGTATGTTTTCGAATACAACTTTTATTCTGAAAAGTAATGTGTTTGAGATAAACTGGACCGAGTCGTAATGCTTAAAAACTTTGCAAGTCCGAACCAACGCCAGTAATGTGTTTCGTTGACGATAATTTGTTTTTCTCTTGCGCGAATAATCATTTTTTGGGAGATATTCTTATGTTTTGATATTGTATACCTTAAAAAAAAACTTAAATACTATTAGGAATTATTTAATATTATATTATAAAACAAATTTTATATTATGCGTCGCTAATTCAGCCTAAATCTAAATACAATTGTTGTTGGTAGATTATTTAAAATTTTACTCTTCTAGTAGTCGGAGAAAAAACAATATAGCAGTGTATCTTTGCCCGCGGATTTACAACTTTTAAAGAAAAATCGTTTGGTTTTAAACAGCGAGTAATAGCGATAAATGTGTCGTACGTGTTGTCTGCAAATAAAACTGTGTTCCTTGTCTTTTGTGCAGCTGAGAACAAATAATATAGAAAATGCGTTTGACTCTAAGTTGTATTTATGATTCAGCACAAGTCAATATGCTGCGTGTCGTCGAAATTGTCTTTTCATTCGTGTCGATAGATTTGAAAGTTTTCTTATGTTAATATTTAAATGCCGATTTTAAATTTGTTACGTTCACTTTTTTCCTCGCCTTTAAAGGCCCCAACTACTACAAAAAAAAAAAAAAAAAATTGGTACGGTTTACAGCGAATATATAATAATTGGCATCTGCATTGTTCCTTTTCGTTCGTCAAATTTAATTCGACAAGTCGAAGTACACAGTTAATGGCTCATGAGAAACATTGTTTGAATTTTCATTGTTTACGTTGCACAGGAAATATTACGCTCCAAGTGCAATTATGAAATGAAAATAATTGTATCGTATAGTAGTGTAATTAAAATGGCGTATAATAAGAGCAGATAGGAGATAACTGAATATTATCATAAGATAATGTACGGTCCGCGTTCGCGAGTCGCAAATTGCTTCATCCCCATTAAGAAGCAGTTCGAGCGTGGGAACGTAAAGTTATACCGTAGTGACAATTATTATTTTACTTAACACTTGTTTTATTATTTTTCCTGTCCATGATGTTTTATGTCTATGGATTTTTGTCGCGATCGAAGATTGTTGATCAATAACGCAAACACGCATAGTGTTATTGCAAGATGAAGGTCCCCTACTGCGCTCAAATGAAAAATACCAATGATTTCAAGACTGCAGTGTAGTAATAGTTAATGTTGTGTTTCTTTATTATATTGACACAAGCCCCGAGCGGCGTTATAATATTGTAGAAAATCGACTTTTAACGGTACATCGAGAATGGTTAGTCGCTATGTAATAGCTATCAAAAGGCAATGGCAGTTTAGCAGAGCACGACGACGAGTGTCCGTAATAAGGTAAAAATTCTGTCAATAGGAGTTTCGATCGAGCTCACAGTGAGATCCATTATATTGCACATTTATGTTTTATGATACACATCAATGCAAATTCATGATCGTGAAATTGAATTTTTATATTTATTTTATTCCCGTAATTTATTCGTGAATCTTAAATCTCTTTAATGATGGCCCAATGTTTCCATGTGAAAACAAATAGTGTTCATTAAATAATGAAAATATCGATTATCTATAAAAACAAAATAACGAGCGATCCGAACATGTCACGATATTGTCAGTGTAAATATGCTTTGCGTAATCGAATCACCAGTTCCAACACAATTCAAATAAATCTATTTCAATGTCCATTGCGCCTCGAACGTGTGTCACTATTGGTATTTTTTTAGATTTCGCAAAAACGTGTACAAGTTTGGCAACACATTTAAAACTTTTTAATAGATATCTGAGCATTCCATTACAGCATTGTCGTGTTCGAAAATCCGTGAAATTATTTAACAGTGGCATTGAATTTTTTACTCGCAAAAGTAATATTATCTAACAGGTTTTTCACGGGCAGATGATTATTTGCAAGTCGTGCACGACGTTACCGGAAAGGCATACTTGACAATATTATTAATATTATTAATCCGTCGACGCGACGATCGTCTTCGGGTTGATTGATCGTCTCGCTATTTTAAGTACAGACGCTGTAATTTATTTCTCGTCGATCGAATAAGAAAACAATGTGTCGATACAAAACTGCAAGTATTTATTGTTCTAATCATGTTGTTGAAACGAAATGTTTTTATTCATTCAGATTTGTAAAATGAAAATACATTGTTGTTTTTTTTTTTATAGTATTTTCAAAATAATTTATTTAACTTTTCTAATAAACGTTACATCAATGGCGGATAAGTACACTAGTAAAATATACATACCATGCGAGTGTAAACAAAAAACACATTTCATACACTTAAGGCCGGCTGAACGCCAGTTGTACGTATAAGTGTTTGAATGTAGATCGCTAAGAGCTTTGACTGCGGTATAGTGACGACCCTCGTGGAAAAACAAACGACACACAGCGAGTACAAGGAAAATGGAAAATGCGAAATCTAATGGGCTAAAGGGGTGGGTATTTTCTGTAAACGGTTTTTTCGCCTCTGAAATCGTGCCAAGAATACTCGTTTTAGCACGTTTCCTATGTTTTTACTAGATTCTCGGCGCGTTAAGTGAAATACCAAATTATTTGATCAACAGCGGTTATGGGTTTTCTCGGTCCAATTTGTCCTCCCCTGACTTCGCTCTGGCCAATATTTTTGCTTGTCGACAGTTAAAAAATATACTTCCGCGATTTTAAATAATTCGTGAGTACTGATATTTTGGTACAAATAGAACTCAGTAATAATAATAATAATACAAATATTATATTACTTTGTCCTTTTGACCGTTTCTGTTTATATAACAATACAACATTTTATAAATGCTAAACGAACAAAAAATAATAATGTAAATAATTGTAGATTTCCGTTGCTTTACTTTCACATAATACTTAAAATAATCGCGTTAATTTTATACCGAGTCTTGTAAATATTATTTTATTAATTGAAATTAATAAAATATATAGAAATAAATTTAGATCGAAAAAAAAACCTAAACTTCCGAATTTTAATTTAAATTAAATTCAGGAAATTAAAAAAAAACAATTTATATTCAGACTTTAATATCTTTATGTTTAAATATTTTCTTAAAGACTATACAAAGAAGTAGCAAACATTACTGAGGCAATTAATTTTTATAAATATACTTTTCAAACAAGTTATTTCATTAATCAATTTTTAAATAATATATAATTGCTAATTTAACAAGACCAATGACGACGAATAGGTGCATCATTATTATTTGCGTAAAAACATTTATTATGAATTGCAAACAAGAAACTCGTTTAAAAAGTATTCTGAATGTATATTGTTGAATAATGTTACTAATAATGCAATAAAGTGTTTTAATATTTTATTATATGGTCTGAGAATATTGTGTAACTGTGAGATCATTAATTTTATAGTATGTATACACATTTTTTAATGGTGGTTTTATTGACGCATACTTAACTTAAAGAATATATTTAAGATTATAAAATTACTGACACTCTGTTATCAATGCTATTACAAATTATTCATGATTATTTTTCTTTTGTTTTAGAATATTTTGGAGAAATTTAATCCTGGAGCTAGACAGATGATCAATGCTGGAAAAGCCTATCTGAAAGCACTACATGGTGAGTACGCGACTTTGGGATGATATGTTTAGGATAAATTTTAGGCTCTCTATTGATTTGTAATAATTGTTGACTTTGAAAGTTTTACGGTTAAAAACTTAATGCTAACCAAAACATAAAATAATTCTTTTGACTCATAAACTAAATTTTACATTTATGAAATATTCATAGATATTTGGTAATTAGTAACTTTAATGTTTCTTTCAGTTACAAGTTCATAAAGTTCAATTTGTGGTTACTTCATTTATTATTTGTTTAATGACTTTCTTCGAGTTGTTTTATTCTTCAACTTTTAAAAACTTTAAATGTGTCTCTAAAGAATACAAAAGTAGCCCATATAATCAATTTTTTTTTTTTTTATAATGACTTTTAAGTAATCAACAAAAACATAGAGAGAAATAAAAAAAACAAAGTTAACAAAAAATATTTTTGGTAAATAAATAATAATGTTTTTTTCGTATATTAACGATAAACGCACACATATAAGTAAATATTAACTAAGGACGTTAGAATAATTATGTTCAATTACATAGTTTAGTGTAATGTTTATGTTTATGAAAATATATGCTGAATTTTATGTTAGAGTACCAATTAAATAATAAACACTAATATTCAGTTATTTTTCAATGTGTATTTTGCCTGTATATGTATATTTATTTAAGAATAATAACTCATCATAATTCTTAATAATATATCATAAATAACTATAATTAAGCGTTTATGGTTAAACTCGCATACTTTATTTGATGGTAACTAGTGTACTGTAATATTTAAACAGTTAAAAAAATGAAAATTAAACTTCTTTGTTACCCTATTTTTTATAATAGTGTTTTGAATATTTCGAGGAAGTATTAAAATACCGTAATAATACTATAATACATCACGCATATGATTTATAACATATTATAAGTACCGGGTAAAACGGTTAGGCCTTCGTTGTTTTATGCACCGAATTTTAAAATTCCCCTTTTTAATATGTGATATATGATTTAACATATTTTGAATTTCACTGTCACGTACTCTTGTACTGCTTTTTTTATTTAACTAATTTTTTTACAAAATTACTCAACCTGTAGAGATTTCGTATAAATATATTAAATAATATAGCCAAATCCTACATTAATCTTTGTTTAGATTACTTGAGTGTTTTTTATTTGCCTTAAGGAATAGAATCGTATGATACCAATACCTGTATTCAAATTTCTAGAACAGCCTTACCAAAACAATTAAAGTGGTTTGCATTTATATTGAAATTAAGTACAAGAAGTAATATATTTTCATATTTATGTTACTTATTCATCGGTTGTATGTATGTATTTAAAAAGAAATATTTCGCCTGAAGAATGTCTAAGTAAACAAATAAATCACTCAGTCACTAACTTATGCATTACACAATGTTGGGGATGTGAAATTGCTCGTAGGGTTTTTAGGTTTTTTTTCTATATTTTCGGTATATGTAATGGAAAAACATTTTATTAAATACTTCATTCGAATTTTTCATTTCGAAAACTTACCAACGTGTATCTAAATATGTGTTATTTTAACGTGATTGATTTTTTAAAAACCTTTTTTGTTTGTAAATTGTTTTTTACACGTTCGCTCAGCCCTTTAGCACTATGTTTCTTTATGCTCAGTTATTGACCAAATTCAAATGGAGACTACAATCAGACGATTGAGGAGACTGTTGCATCATAAATATTTATCAATATTACAACATGATTGATGACACACGCCTATGTTGTTTTCATGCATGTACAATATTATTATTATCGTATGCACGTACATTTCAGCCGTCGACGTACCCCCGGAGTTAATGTTGTCATTGGTCAGGATAAAGGGGTGTTAGGCGACGGCTTACTGAAAATGATTGATATGATTCCGCATTGAAAATGATCCTCCACTATGGTACTTTTCTTCTTACAAGTATTTATGCTAATATTTTATGTTTTCTTTTTTTGTTAAATAATGTTGGAGAACTTGAATTTTTAAAATATGCTTTAATTTGACTACGATCAAAGATTACATGAAGGACTGTTATCATAGAAAATTATGTGGATTTATCCAAAAGTCTCGTTAACATTATGAGAAGTTTGATAAAATTTTGTTAACTCATTGAAAGTGTATTTACAGCTCATACAACTCATAACGCGTGTAAAAAATAATGTGTTAACAATATTGTGTATTAATAATGTTAATTACCCTCGATGACAAATACATTGATAAAAAATAAAGTTATAAGTTGAACTTAATGATACAGAGAACATTGAAATTAAGGAGTCTCCAGAAGTTTTAGATCATTATTATTTCATACAAAACTTTAGCTCAGCCTTTCGACGTAAACTTAATTAAATAAATAAATTAAGGCTGAATGGTTTCATTCATAGAAAATTTAGTCATATTTCCGTAGTTCGAACATCAGTAGTAACCTTAAACTGTATGGTAATTCCTTTTGGACGAATTACTCGCGTGCTCCGTTTGGTAATTGTAGTGTCGAGTCATGGTCTGATACAATGGAGCATGTTTTATGAGCGCAATCAACATGTACAGTGGATATGTGGGAGTATTGGTGTCTGGCAGTTGTCTGGATGACTTTGTGTGCGCAACACTTCTGTAATGATATTATGAATATGTCGGGGGTGAAAGCAAAGAGGCAATGTAATTGGATTATGGGTAACAGTGTGTCGACTAAAGTTCAACTTGTGGAGGGGTTAGCTAAAACGCACGACTAAAGTTTGATGATTACTGTTGGATAGCTTTTAAAATGTCAAACTTTGAAAAGAAAAATATTTCATTTTTTCAGAGAGGACTGATTGAAATAAAAAAAAACTCGTACATCGTTTTAAGAAAACAGAGTAATTAATTGAATATCCGTTGTAAATTTTAATGTATTAGTTTTTCTTTAAATCTTTGTCGCAATTTTATTTCTTAAAGAAAATATTAGTCGTCGCGTTAAATATTCTTTTTACTTTCCATTTGTTATTCGTCTTGTGTATGAATAAAACATGATGTTATCGAAAAAGGGGATGAGATAAAATATAATAATCTTTGCCATGTCTATGAGTACAGCACTCAGCTATGAAATCGATATGAGTTAAGAACAACTTTTAAGAGTTTACTGCACTGGACTTGGAAGCAAACGAATGTCTTTTCGAGACTTATAATAACAGTATTATTATTACTAGTTGTTACCACAATGCAAACGATATTTTATGACTTTGCACTCCCTTCGAGTTCTTCATATTCAATACGCGTTTTGGATCAATTCCAAGAGTCAAGGACCTTGTAGTGGCTATACGAAGAATTTATTTCGTTTTAATATCATATATGGTTATCCTTCCTTTGCATATGTTAAAATTAATTGAAAATTATTGCCATACAGAAAACCAGGTATTTGAAATAAAAAATTAAAAACTCGATATTTTTATTCATTATAATAAAAATAAATTGATGAACGAGATAAGGACAGAGATCATTCTTCCCATTTATTAAGGTGTTAAAATATCATAACAAATTTGACATTGAATGTTAATATAAATATACTACTGTGTTGAGAGACAATATTTACTATTTTATGTGTTAGTATTAGTATATGCATCAGTACTATATTTGCACTGGTATAATAATACAAATGTTGTTTATTAATTTTATAGTAGTGACTAGTTTTTACTCATTCGATAGGGTTTGCTAAATCACTGATTTATAGTTTAATTATTTATTTTGACAGAAGTAATATTCATTATAAATAAGAACATCGCTAAAAACTAGCTAGCTCTTAATTTATTAATGCCTCCTTAGTAAAAAAATTTCTCTCGTAAAGTTTATACTGTCCTTCAGCTTTAAGAAAGCTATACGAGTACATTCAGTAAAAAGCTTCATTTTGTCAAAATGTGACACCAGAGACGTAAAAGACAGCTCACCCTCAGCTTTGTGAAAAATGAAACTTTTCCTTTCTCTGTAAAACGGATTAATGGAACCTATTAATAATGCAAAGAAGTCGAACTTTTTCTCTTATCTTCTTAATTTAAAAAATAAGAAATTTAATTGAACGAACCAGATATTTAAAAAAATATGTTATATAATTTCTGTTGTCATTTTGTTTACGACAAAAACTATTTTAGATTCAAAATTACTTAAATTTTTTTATGTATGAACTTATAATTGCTTACGTTTTGTGGGTTGAATTTTTTATGAATAACTTAATACATTAGGTGAATTGAATTGTTTAAAATTCGCATTTTGTTTTTATTAGCTAAGCTGAAATTACTAATTTTTACAAATTTGACTGTTTAAGATTTCGTCAAATTATACGCTAAATATCTTAATTTTTATTTCAAAATCAAATAATTCGAGTTATTTCACAATTATTGTGACAAATACACAAAGTAACACAAACAAAACATACGGTGTTCTCTTTTAAGAAAACTATCTATATAAGATAAAAAAAACTCTAACGAGTAACTTGTCTTAAAATTTGCTGAGTTTTGAAAATAGCGAAAAGAAAGGAAAAACATGAAAAATAAATGAATAACGTTCGCTCCTACAAGATTATTCCCTAGGGATAAATTTATTGTAAGCAAATAGTTAACCCCTTAGTGAGTGATTTCTCATATTTTTTGTGTCCGATAAATATTTTAACTGTTAACTGTAACACTTTTGTTGATTTATACGGTTAATATAAGAATATTAAATTTGGATTTTTAATTTTAGTTACAAAGTTATTTAAATAAACAATATGGAAAATTTTAGGTTTACATTTATTCGTCGTACAAGGAATAACATGTACACCTTAATTTTTATTATTGCTGGATAATTAGTTGTCAAATGAATTAAATAAAAATATTAGACTGTACGATACTGAATTAATTAAAAATATATATAAATATTTAACTAATGTATATGAAAGGAACTGAATAAAAATTTAAATCATAGAAAAATTAGAAAAATAAGTACTTTTAGGTTGTAAATTATATTTGGTATGCATCTTCTAAAACACTTTGACA